CACTTAATAATTCTACTAACCCTATGCTCTGCTAGACCTACTATCCTGATCGGCGGGAGCGTCCAACCTCCGATTGCAGATGGTTTGATTGTGGCAATTCGCCAGCTCCTGACTTTTGAAAGCGGTGCAGCACAAAGCCTAGCTTCCGTGGAACCGGATGTCACGCTGGGGACCACAAAGTCCCCGTTCTGGCGCACCAACGGTCTGGTTTTGCCTGATCGCAGGAGCGATCTTATCGATTGAGAATCGGCGGTGAATCGTGGCACTCAATCCTCTTCACTCGAGCACCGCAACATCAGATCGCCCCCCGTGAAGCCGCAGTTCACCCAAGGAAATAAAGTCGCAGCCTTCGTCAACTAGTGATCCCAGCCTCGCGAGCCTGGGCTCTCAATATGCAAACCGTGTGGCGCAAGTTTTTGGTGCACCCAACTGAGGTTCTCCGTCTCTAGAACCCACTCCACTGGCTCTGTGCACTCGTTAATATAGGCGAGCCCACGTGGACCTACTACGTCACGCACCCTCGCTTGTATAAGCCAGTGGAAAGTTTCATATAAGCCGGAATACTCCAAGCCTTGTGTCTCCCGTTTCCGCGTTCTTCCCTTTAGAAAACCCTTCTCCTGTGGCGAGCTAATCCTCTCCCAAGTGTCCCAAATAGTGCCATGAGACGCTGGCTAATACGTTAACGCAAGTCAAGTGAACCACAATTTTACATTAGCATATCACATTTTTTATTTCAACAAGATTTATAAGCCTTATCTACTTCTCATAATTACTTGGGTAAAAATTAACTTGCGAATTATCACTTTTAACATACCTAAATTCATTGCAGTTATTACATTTTTATTTAAAACTCGGAATTCGCAGACACTACATTTTCTTAACGGAATATGAAGCTCATAAATTTCGCGGTAGCCGAACAAAATCCTGATCTCTGCAAACGGAGAGAGTTCTGCTCCATCGGAGGCTGAGTTTCGGTCGCTTCGCCTGCTTCGATTTCTCGCCGGCGCCGCCCCTTATACCGCTCCCGTCCCGCGCGCCGTCCCAGCGCCAACGCTATATATTTGTTTTGTTTTCTTGTTAATAAATATATTGTTTATACGAAAGCTCTGTGTCTGTGGTCGTTGTGAGTATCCATGACGTCACACTTGTAATGTTTCACTGTAATCTAGTCTACAATTTTTTCAGTTTTATTGAAATGTTGAGATATCAATCTGTATTATTGTAGCTAGAACTGTGGAAAGAAGGAAAAACAACAATGAAATTGCAATGACCTTGAAATGAAAAGGTTAGGGTAGTTAAGTTTCAACAAAGGAGCAAACCCAGGACTATCCTTTCAAAAAATACGTTCATGGACAGCTCAGACTCAATAATTTAAAATTGTTCAACGTTCCCTTTTAAATTTAATACATTAGTTAAAATTTCGTAAAAATTTTATTGATATGTTATATAAAACAATACATTACAATTTGTTCATAAAAATGGTCGTGATACATTTTCTTCTGTCGAGTACAAATAAATATGGCAGATTAACTTTTTTGTGTATATGGCTGTGGCTTATTCCTTATTCACAAGCGTGACCTTAAAGATCCACATATCCAACATTTTCGGCAACAAACCGAAAATTTGATTAAACGGAGGAACACTTTCGAGGCAGATAAAAGTTAACATAATATCAGCTGCGTTCGTCTTGATACGTGTTGCAGGAAGCACTTGCCGAAGCCACTCCACTCTTGCAACAAGTTCTTTCTAATACTATTAGGAGACACTAAAACACAACAAAATTAACCTAGAAAGTCGAGCGAAGAAAGTTGATACTTCGATCTCGCCTTAAGATCTGCGAGGTGACATCAACGTTGCTTCTCGTAGTTCGAAGTCGCTGCACTGGTGTGATTTTCTTCTTTTCGAATTTTGAACTTGTTATCCTGTAAACACAAAATAAATGACAACAAATATAAATTTCAGAAATAATTAACTGGCTTTTTGAAGGAAATGTATGGTATTAGCGAATAGCAATGATTATAACAATTTGTAATAAATCAGCTATCACGAAAGAAATTGAAGAAAAGTCCGAAATCGAGGTCAAAATTCCATAAAAAAGATGTATAAATATTTGGGTTTATTCATAAGAACGATGATTTGGCAGTGGTACTATTACAGGGGAACTCAATGAATTCAGACCTCTTTACAGTCACAAGAAACCTAAGCTCTACGGAGAATCATACCAATATATATTTTATAAATTTTCAAACAGCATTTATTGATCATTCATTATATAATTAATGTTCACAAAATTATACTAGCCACATTATACTCGTTAGTAAAAGAATGGTATGATAACCTACACAAGAATATAAGAAGGGGGCTATCAGCACGTGTGCACCCGAATGTGTAGATTGTGCCAAACGCAAAAAGAAAAGGAAAATAAAAAGCTCGAGTTATAGACATCGAACTTGCAGAGCCAAGAGAAGTAACAAAGATATTCGATGTTTAGATTGATTATAACATTGTTTCTGTCGTAAAGTTTTGTAAAACATTTACATAAACTAATTTTCTTTAACCCAAAAATAGGATTTTCGTGGAAAATGGTATGTTTTAGAGATTTACAAAATGCTAGTACAGTAATGTGTAACATCAAACATACCGCAAACAATGCAAAGAAAAGTTTTTGAAGTTAAAAATCTCAGAAAATTAGCGAGATTTTCGAGAACACTCTTCTGTTCGGCATAGGCAGGAATCGATAGAAAGAGTTGCCGCAGTAAGACAATTGTGTGACAATTTCGCATGCTGCATTTTTGAAAACATAGGCCAGGTGGGATGGAATTGAAATATCATATTAAATCATCGTTAATGAACTGAAAACATTTCTTGCAACAGTGAGATTTTATGTCACATATAAGTAAATGTCCCATATATGAGATGCATGACTAAACCAAACGAAAATGAATGTTATGTGTTTGGGTTGTAATATTTTGGAGTAAATTAACAAGGAGCTTCAGAAACGATTTTGAGTGTAACACACTACGTTATGGTGGCCTACTACATTTCTTTTGAAGGTTCTGTAGAAAAGAAGAATAGGGACGTAGACTACAAACTACCCATAGTTAAAAACAAATTTCCTTCCTACGTATTTCTGAAAAAAAAAAAATCACCGCAATTGTCAATTAAAAGATGTGTCTTTTCGGCTTCCTCACCTTTGTGCTATTAGATATTTAAGCATAATATGTAAGTTAGTAGTAAGCAACCAAAAACATATTTATGGTACGTTTTAGTGATGTATTTATTAATCAACAAGAACATTTATTTAAAAACAGACGAAAACGATCTGATTTCAACGATAAAGTGATTGATAACATATTAACAAGGATATGTAGGCAAAATGAAAGAGAATAAAAAACTAAAGTTATTAATTAGTTAATTCTTGAGGCTGAATACATCTGTTTTTTTATGAGTGTGCCTCTCTTTTTATTTTTTCTCTTGTTACACCTCAATACGTTAGACCAAAATTTAAATTGTTAACAAATTCTTAATAAGTTATGTGATTGTTAAAAATGTAAACGTCTACCTAAAATACCGAATGCATCTTACGCGAGGAAAGGGTGCGAGAGCCAATGCGCATGTTTTCTTGAGCCCCGGAATCCCTCCCCCACTCCTTTGCCAATATTAGTTGAATTAAAAATTACTGATAGCAACGAACGTTTTAGACAAAATCTGATAACCAGAATGTTCGATCCGTTGTAACAGAAACTATTTTGCATCGAAAAAGGAACAAAAAAATTTGATGCAAAATTCCTTTCGTCAAAATAACCCAACTCCCCAATATCCTCTCCCAACCAGCGAAGCGAGAGCTCAAGAGAACTTGCACCGATAATACCACTCACCCATCGCAGCGCAGCGCAGCGGCGGTCGTGTGAGGCGTTGCTCGGTTAGTCCTGCGCATGCGTCGTGGGGCGGCGGCGCGCAGGGCGAGGGCCTGCAAAGGTCAGACGTCGCAGGTCAGAGGGCGAAGCAGTCCCCGCCGCCACGCCGCCTCGGGCAGTGGGTCCACCACCATCACGACCCAAACCCATTTTTAATCGTAAAGCATTTAAATTAAATAAATACAAATGAAAATGTGAATCGTGAATACTGTTTTTGAATTTAGATTATTTGACTTCAAGAGACATACAATATAAGTTCATTGTACCACGTGGAATTTGAGGTGATCCCAGAATCCCGGATTGTCG